CCAGAGGCAGGCAAACAGGGCTACACACACTGCCGGCCTCACAGCTACATGCTGCCACTTCCGTTCCAAAGACTGTCTGGTACGGACGGGCGCGTGCTGGAGTGGACAGAGCACAGTGCCAGGTTCAGAGCCCTGGGTTCAAGCCGGGGTCTGCAGTCACCTGTGCTGCAGGCTTCCTCACCTTGGGCCTGTTTCCTCTCTGCACCCTGAAAAGACTGACCACGTGGCCCCAGGGCCTTTTCAGGTCCCAAATCCTTCAGTGACCCTGCAGACTGCCCACATGGGTTCAGCCTTAATCTGGAGGGGCGGGGCAATAAGAATCTGCGGGCATTGGCTTCCACGGTTCTTTTAGCCAGAACCAAGCCATTCATAAACTTCAGGCCCTAGCAGTTCAAAGTCCGCCCGCCCCCCCCCCCCTCCCTTTCTAAGAGGGACTCTTTTTCCGGCCCTTGCATGGCACCTCACACGTGTCCTCTCCATGCTTGGCTCTGCAGAGGGACATGTAACCTGGCTAACCTCACACAGCTGGGCCCCAGGAGCTGCCAGGTGACACCTGCTCACCTTTCCACTAAACTGGTCCCCTGCACCTGAGTTATAACAACCGCCCCTTTCGCAGGCTCAGACTCCCACTAGCATGAAAGCCCCGAGCAGGCTGACCGTGCGCAGAGCTGGATCAGCAGCAGAACTCCCAGCCCTGGTCCAGGGTCCACCCATGCTCCTGCCTGACTCTGCTGCCTGGTTTTCAGCAGCTTGTGTCCCTCCCATCTGGTGAGGTGCTGGATGGGGGTCTGGGCTGCCTCCTGCTATTTTGGCAAGTTGCCACCCAACTTGGTATCAATGCCAAGCAGGGGGCCAGAGGACCTGGCTGGAAAACCAGGGTTGGCAGGCTTCCCTGAGCCATGCGAGGGCACTTGGCACGTCTGGAGGAGAGAGCTCTCCCAGCCCTGGTCCTGCTGCTCTACCCTGCAGGCTGGCCTGATGGTCAGCACCCACGACTGGCCCTTTAAGCACTGGCCCTGGATGCTCTACCCTGCAGGCTGGCCTGATGGACAGGGCCCAGGACTGGCCCTTTAAGCACTGGCCCTGGATGCTCTACCCTGCAGGCTGGCCTGATGGACAGGACCCACGACTGGCCCTTTAAGCACTGGCCCTGGATGCTCTACCCTGCAGGCTGGCCTGATGATTAGGACCCACGACTGGCCCTTTAAGTGCTGCTTACTTCATGGTCAGTTTGATTATTTCTCTTTGCTCCTCTTCTTTTAATTTTTCAATAAAACTGTCCAGCATGGTCAGTTTGATTATTTCTCTTTGCTCCTCTTCTTTTAATTTTTCAATAAAACTGTCCAGCACCGGCATTTCAAACTTAATGTACTGAGCAACCTAGAAAATCCAAGAACATTTTATTGTGCTTTAAATTAGAAGCCAGAAACGTTTTCTTCCCCTCAGGGTTTCCATAGGTCCAATTCAGCAACGTCTTATGCCCATGGAGGTGGCTGCCCTCCTCCCACCCCCAGCACTGCTCCGTGTGCTCCAGGGCGGGCGGGGGACCCTTTCCTCAAAGGCAGCTACTCTCCCTGGGAGGAAAGATTAAGCCAAGTATTAGGGAAAGCATTAGACAGTGATCAGAGGCGCACGGGGTGCTGTCTGGGGTGCAGGTGGGGACACACTGTTTCATACAGTGGCATCAAACTGTACTGGCCTGTGGACTTAGATGCCTGTGGACTTAGCTGCCTGTCCACAGGCCCAGCCAGGCCCTCGCTCAGAAACCCTGTGTGGACCGTTAGTGCAGTGACAACGGAACACTGCAGTGAAGGAAAAGGTTCCACCTGCCGGGGAAAGCACAGGGGTGGCTTCCTGGAACCAACGTCTCCCTCTGAGCCAGCCCATGGTGCTGGTGGTGGCACAGAGGGGTGGGGCTGGGCTGGAGCCATCATCGCCCTCGCGTGGGACCCTTCGGGACAGCCACGCAGTCCTGGAGACCACGTCCAAGAGGGCTGCGGCCAAGGACACCTTTGGAGCCCTGAGAGCCCCCACGCTGTCCGCCAGCCCCCCCTCAGGAGCAGGCCTCCCAAGCCGCGGCCCCACTCACGTCATGGGGCACCTCCTCGCCCAGGTCGGCTTCCATCAGGAATATCCTGGCAATTTTCTCACTGGGCCCGTGCAGGATTCTGGAAATCAGCGGGTACTCACAGTCTTTTAATTTTGTCCGCTCTGAAAAGAAAGGTGGTTTACAAAATTCAGGGAGCATGAGGAGTGCCTTGTTCCCGGATGGACGACAGCCGTCAGGGGCCGCAGGGGCCCTCCTCCAGGCCTGGCTGAGACCATGGCCCTGAGTGTGTGTGACCATGTCATTCACAAAGACCCACTTGGGCAGGGACCGTCCAGGGAGGGGAGTGGGGAGGAAAGCAGACCTGGGAGGCTGGGCCCACAGTCGCCTTCCGGTGCTGGGCAGGGGCTGCCGAGAGGACGCAGGCTCGGCCACTGCACTGCTCGGGGCTGAGGGCCTCACTCCAGCTCGCAGACCCCGGTAACCCTCCCCAGCCCTCCCAGTAAGTGAGCTAGAATGGAAGCTTCCCACGGGGGAAGTGGGGGTTCTCACAGGGACAAGTGTGCCCTGGTCGGGCTGGGAGAGGCTTTGGGGTCCCACTGCAGGCACAGTGGGTCCCAAGGCCAGGAGGGCAGGCTGCCCTGTGCCTGCCACACAAGCCACACAGCCCCGGAGAAGGAACAGTGGGAGCCCGCCTTTTGTTTTTATGATCTGGGCAAAGGCCGACACTCACCCCCCGACTCGTGAACAACGTAGAGTGCGAACTCACTGGGGCCGTTCTCCACCTGCAGCGGCAGAGACTGAAGTCAGACCCGACTTCCAAGACCAGAGACAGAGGGACTCCTGGCAGCAACCACACCCCCGGGGCCACACACATAGATCCCCAGACCACCCGCCCCCCATCTCTGCTTCCAACCCCAGAGCCCAGCTCAGCAGAGAAAACCTTGCTAGACCTTCTACCAGGGCCACAGACAACTCCCCTGCCATCGCCAACCCCTGGAACAGCTGGAAGTGGAAGACCAGGCGCTCACACCAGACTTACCCGGAACTTGCTGAGCAGCAGGCTGAGCACCTGCAGGGTGGTCATGGTGCTGTTGACCCTCACGTTGGTCACGGACCCATACGCAGGCGTAAACACGGAGGTCTGCACAGGGAGGGGGAGGTCAAGGCAGGGCCGGGGACCGGGCTGGCACTCTCAGGGCCTGGGCGCACTATCAGCCATGTGCTGAGGAGCGCGGAGCAGCAGGCGGACGGGGCTCTGGGAACACTGGCGCCTGATCTCACACAGACCCACGTACCAGCCGTGCCCATGCTTGGGCACACGCGGGGAGGCTGGGACAGTTCACGTCTGACTGAGAAAGACGCCTGCAGAGCTACCAGGGCAGCCTCTGCTCCTCAGAACCACCGGCCTCTCCCTCCCCATTCCATCCATCAGTGCACCAGGTGTTTGCTGATTCTAAGGCAGAGAGTTCTCGAGTTCCACTCTGCTCCACTCTCCCAGTGGTGCCCCAGCTTCCCACTTTCCCCTTCCAGGCTCGGCCCTTTCGATAATTCCACATACCGGTGCCCAGGAATAACCTTTCAAAAACCCTGCGCCACAAAGCGTGCTCTGAGCTAGCCCCATGCTTCACCCCCTTGGCACCAGGGCCTCCCGTGACCCCACTCCTGGGCGCCCCATTCCCCAGATTCAGATGCGCACATCCTGTCTGGCCCTCGCTCAGCTTTCCTCGGGAGGTAACTGGGACTTGCCGTGTGTCCCCAGCTGGTCCCAGTACCAGAGCCAGGCTCAGCCTGGACTTGCCTTCTCCACAGAGAAGATGTGGAATGACTCTGGGCTACAGACGCAGCCTAGGCCTTCGGTCCCCAGGAAGTATGGGATAAAGAGAGGAGCCCGGCCACTGCAAGGGGAATAGACGTAAAGAACACCCGAGTCCTTAGAAGGCTTTACTGCATGCAGTGCCTTGGCAGCCAACCCATTCTTAATCTCTCCTTCAGCTCAGTCCGGGTCCGCTCACTCCTCCAGGAAACGGCACCCTCAAGCCGTCCTGGGTCTTCCTGGGTGGAGCAAAGCTAGCCCGCTGGCTGCCTCTCAACCCTTGCTGCACCCTAGTGGGAGGGTGGGGGGCGCTGGGAGGTCCCGACAGCAGAGCAGGGTCCTGTCGGCTTGCCATGCTGACGTCCTCATCCTGAACGCCAGGCCACCCCCGGTGTGGCCTGAATGGCTCCGGGCAGGCCTTGCCCAAGCTGCTGCTCTGCAGCTCTGACTCTGGGACCTCCCTCCCCTCCCACTGGTTCCTGGGCTGCTGCTCGAACTGGAAGCCCCTGCTCCATTCCCAGGGCTCCAGGATGTGCCTGTCACAGGACACTCCATCCAGGCCTCACCCAAACTGCCACTCGTGCCCTTTGCAGTAACGACCAGCTTCTCCTCTTGCTGTTCAGTGTGTTTATGGAATGATATCACTCCCTGAGCTTGGTACAATCCACGCTGGGACAAAGGCTGCATGTGGGGAACCAGGGGCAGCACGCGCTCTCTGACACAGCCGCATGTGCCCGGTATACCTCGGCCTCGCCGGCTCACTCGCCCTGCAAAGTGCCAGCAAGGTGCATGGTCCCCAGGACACTGGGCCCAGATGAGCCTCAGGGAACACTGCCCAACGAAGACCTGCATAGACCAAAGACAGACTCACCCCACGTCCACGCAGCGTGTGAGTAGATGGACAGTGAGTCTGTGGTGAAAAAAGTACAGGCTTTGGGGTCAGGAACTGGGACGTTATTTTGATGGGACTCTGGGCTTGCCCTGACCCCGCTTCTCCACCTGCACACAGGGAGGTGGTGAGGGTAACTGACATGGCCATCCTGCCTGGCGTGTGGCAGGCCCCGGGGTTCTGCCTGTGCTTGGGGCTGGTTGCGGTCAGCGTCAGGGCCCTGGGCAGAGGCGAGGCCGGGACGTCACCTTGTGGTTGTAAAAGTGCCCGTTGATGGAGAAGCGGTGTCGCCGGGTCCTCTGGGTCTCGCCGGGTGCGCGGCACCTGGGCCTCCTCTGGATCACACAGGCCGCGTCGCTCTTGGTGCGCATCAGCTGTGGGGGTCTCCTCGCCCTCCTCCAGGGGACCCTGCAGCGGCACTGCTGTGCTGGGTCGCGTGGTGTGTGTGGCCACAGATGTGCTGTGACGCTGTCCCTGTGTGGAGGTGGGTCCGGCAGGAAAAGGTGACCCCCAGATAGGACCACCTGTGCTACCACATCACCGCGCCCCAGCTGTGGGCCTCGTCTCCGGGCACCCAGGGCAGGTCTTTGGCAGCTCAGCCCCTGCTCTGAACAGGTCCCTCACTGGGTATGAGGGGGGCATGGAGGCCAGGGGGGCAGTTATGGACCCCAAGTGTGAGGACGAGGCCCCGGCCAGGAGGGCTCCGGGCCCTCTGCGAATCGTTCCCTCTTCCTATAACACTGCACGTGAGGGGGCCGGTCACCAACAAACCATGTCACCCCTGCTCCCTTTCTGTTGCGTGAGGAGTCGACGAGGACCCTGTGTTGCTCCTGAGGACAAGTGGGGCTCCTCGCTACTCCCCAGAGCTGCTCTCAGAAGCAGGGCCCCGGGCCAAGCCCCCTCCCACCAGGCTGAGCGCAGACCCCAGGCTGCTGGACAGGCTTACCTGAGCTGTCGCTGGCACTCTCAGGCCTGTGCTCGGAAGGCTGAGAGCCTGGCTGCTGGGCAGTGCCACCCTGCAGAAGCGGCTCCTTTCTGGAAAGACATGAGCACGATGCAGCAGAGAAGAGTAACCTAGAGGGCCAGCTGCCTGTGTGGACGGCACACAGGCCAGACGCCGACAGGCCGAGTGGAGGCTGGGATTTCACACCAGTCAGCGTAAATATTGAAAGAAAAGCACAGTATGGCCAAGTGTCTGCTGGGCAAAGGGGGGTCTGCTCCGAGGACTCCGTGGCTCTGCTTTGCCACTGCAGGACACGGGGACACCGCGGTGCTCATGGGCACCGGGCCACCAGGCAGAGGTGGGCAGAGTCCTCTGTGCCGTGCCACGTGGGCTCGGGCATCCCTCAAGCCTGGGGAGAGCTGGGCAGGGCAACCTTCAGGGGGCCGACCCCTGGGCCTCCGGGCTGGCGAAGGAATAGGTGCGATGGGAACTAGCCCCCTAACTGCGCACATGGCCGTACAAGCCCCGGGGAGTGGGAAGCCCATCTGAATGAGCTTCGTGCTAAGCCTGTGCTGCTCGGAATTTGCTATGCGTGACTGGGCACACCTGCGGGTGTGCCAGTGAGTCAAGGTGCTGAGGGTCCTGGCAGAAGCGAATTGATTTGAATACAGTGGGGTCTTGACTTACGAGTTTAATTCGTTCCAAGAGACCGAGCTCCTTAAGGAGCTCGTTAACTCAAATTACTCTATCAACTCAATGCAAAAAATCTGCTGAGAGACAGCTGGTATCTCAAAAAACTCGTTAGTCGGGACACTCGTAAGTCAAGGCCCCACTGAAGGGGGAAATGATATTAAATGTTGATAAATTTATAAACATAAATTCTGATATTAAAATAAAAGAGCAGTAGCAGGTGAAATCTACAGCCCTCTCTTTGCAGACCAGGTGGCTCATGTGGATGTTTGAGAAACACACTGGCGGGATGGATCCTGGGACATTCCCAGGGGGGCAGCGCCTCGGCTGCCATCTAGAGAGACCCCCCTGGGGCGAGGCTGCCGCCGGCAGGGGAGGCTGTGGCTGACGCTGTCACGAGGGGGCAGGGGTGAGCCGGACTATTGTGCCCCCTACAGGAGCGGGCTTTGCCCTGAGGCCCAGGGACCCCCCCCACCCCCCAACACCCAAACAGTAAGCTCAGGTTGACCAGGTGCCCCGGAGGCCACCCCGAGACCCGAGCCCAGCACTCACAGGCGGCAGCTGGGCTGCCCGGCGTCCAGGCGGCCGACGAGAGGCGCCGGCTCCCGGTCGTCCTGCATCTGGAGGCGGATGGGCCGCCTCAGCCCCCAGGCGATGTTGAGGAGCCCCTCGATGACCAGAGCTCCTTCCTCCTGTGGGACCTGCACAGTCAGCCTCTGCCCCAGCCCGGCCCTCGGAGTCACTGCCCACCTCCCTCAGTCCCCCAGGACCCAGCCCTTCGGACATGGGACTCCCCGGACACTCAAACCCCCAACACGCACCCTCCTCCTTGGGGACCTCCCTGGGGAAACCTACGTGCAAGGCCAGGTCAGCCAGATGAGGCCTGCTTGGCCCACACCTGGCAGGGGCACGGCGGGGGACAGTGGCTGGGACGGTGTCCCACGGGACCCCAGCCGCTGTCCACACAGCAACCAGGAAACTCGGTCTGGGAGCTGCGGCCGCACCAACATCAGCGCAGTATAGGGTGCCCCCCACCCGCACTGTGCCGGGTCGCAGCCCCATGTCACCACTGGAAAGTATTACATCTGGGAAGTAGTAAAACCAGGACCCTGGGCGCTGCCTTGGTCCCAGGCCAGGGTGGGCACTGTCACCTTGGCGCAGGCTTAAGCAGCAGGCCTCGGCCGCCTCCAGGCAGGGCCTCCTGGGGTGGGGGTGGGGGGCGGGCAGGCTCTGGCTACCACTCTGGCTCTAGGCTGGAGTGTCTGGGGCTCAGGGGCTGGTGTAACCCACAGTGGGGACGCCTCTAGGTGGTGGTAGCAGCCCCCAGAGCAGCCTTTCCCGGCCTGGGCTGAGGTGACTGGCAGCGGTGCCCGCCCCGCCCCTGCCCGGCAGAGTAAACACTTCCAGCGCCTCCCACAGCACAAACACTTGCTCCTGGTGGGCGCTGGGCCAGGCCCGCCCCCGAGCTGTTTTCCTGAGAGCCTCCCTGACGGCTATTTTGGGCCTCGTGACAGTAGCTGACTAGTGGGAAGGTATAAAAGCCGCGGCGGGGCCTCTGGGTTTGCCAGACAGTCGGAGAGGGTTCTGCTGTGGACAGTGGCACATCATCCTGACCGTCTGTCACCGGATACAGGGCTCCGACCGCTGGGCCTGCATCCGCTGCCCCCAACTTTGTGGGGCTTCCCGAGCCTGGCCTTGCTCCTCGGGTATCTCTGCTACCCCCAGGGCCCCTCGGCCACAGGTAAGAGAGAGCCCCTGCCCTCTGGTTTGAGATAAAACAAATGGCTCTGTGTGTCTTCCCGGGTGGGTAGTCCTCAGCCGGGGACCTGCACAGCCTCAGGGAGGGTGAGAGACGGGGAGCAGCCAGTGGCAGTGACTGGCTGTAGAGGG